GAAATCAAGATACTTAACCAGTAACAATTTCATTGATGGAAATATGTGGAAAATGTTTGAGAACAAATCTGACTACCTAAGCAAATTAAAGTAGCCATTAACAAGTCTTAGAACCAGGAATTGTTCAGCAGTGGCTTAAAAAAATATCTCATTACCTTATCTAGAAAGCTGACTGGGAAATGTGTTTAGAATATAGTTGACTTGGCTAATTCCCAATGATCCTGATTTGGAAGACAACTTTGTATTTTTCCATAGGTAACCCTCTGAAACAAGTATTGCATGAAAAATGAATAAAAAGGACCTACATCCGGAATTGTCTAAAGAATGAAAGCAAAGTGACATGGAGAAAACAGAGTAGATTATTCTAATGTGATTGATATGGCTTTATAATTGGCCCAATAGCATATTGATGTTATCTCCTCTGAACTTCCCGATACAATGATATAGTACTCCCACTATTATTTCCATTTTGAAGTGAGGAAACTGAGGTTCATTTCAGTTATGTTATCTAGTTACAAGGTTAAGTAAGTTGGCCCCAGAGAACAAGTTGTTGGACATGAAACAGATGTTGTATTTTTCAAATTTCATGTTCTTTTAGGTCACCCTTGTACTTAAGAGATCACTATATTAATTAATGTTGTTTGTAGTTACTTAGTTTAAGTAAGTCACTATAAATAAAGTAATATTGAAAATAGATTGATAAAATCAATTTAGACAAATAGAAGTATTTTGTTGAGAGAGTAGGCTCAGAATATCAAGAGTTTGGGAAAGATCATGGCCCTCTAAACAGAATACTAAAATTGTATGGCTTTGTATACTGCTTCTACTCAAAATGTGGCTAAATAGAACTTCATGACTTATCTCCAGTTAAGCATAACAATTTGCTTGAAGCAAGAGTCCCAGGTATTCTAGCACAGTTATATGGTTACAGAAAAATGTATCCAAATGCCTATATTCCACTTTTGTCAACTGTGAAGTAAGAAAGCTAGAAAATATAGATATAACACTTTTACCAAGTTATGGAATACAGTGGCTGGTAAACTAAGTTTTTTTGAGACAAATATGGTTAGGAATCTAAGAATAGCTCTTTGATTTTTAAATGATTGGAAAAAATTCAAAATGATAGTGTATTATTACACATGCAAATTACATCTAAATTCAAAATTTCTGTGGTTTCAAATTGAAGTGCTAATATTACACATCACACAAATATGTATTCAAAATCTTTAAAAAGTAAAATGTAAATTATAAACTGTACAGAACTGTATGAATTATATAAAGTTATCTAATTATTATCCAAATAAAATTATGACAAATAATATTAATTACTAATTGACTTTAAAAGTGTTTTCCTTGCATGCACATTTAGGAACTGTTTGAGACACATTTGAAACATAAAGAAAATCACCTGCTCCATGGAATACTAATCATTTTGAATTTAAAATTTACTGCTGTATTTATTGCAATAAAATATTTCTGCTTGCTCGACCATAACCAACAAGTAATTCTAATTTAATGGCAGTACGAGTTGTTCTGCTTTATTATACTATGAAGTAGTAAAGGATATTACTAAAATTATTGTTATAAGCCAGAAAACAAAAGACTAAAGTTCTTCCTCATTAACATAAACTTGCTTTAGTTTAAATTATTAGAAATATTGGAATCCGTCTTTATTTTTACTTTGCAATGGATAATTTTCCTATTAGAAATGTTCCTCAAAATAATGCTATTTGAACAAACAAAAGTGAAGCAAATATTTATTAAGTCATGACAATTCAAACCTTAATTAATTTCTCTACTACTGAATTATTGTTTCTCATATTTCTTATTTAAATTCTTCTTAAAAGGTATACTAGCTAGTAATTGTCTGAAAAATAAGTACACTATAGAACTTCAATTTACCAAACACACATACATACACACACACATTTATACATACAATTCTCCTTAGGAATCTAGCTTCACATAAATAAGGCTCAGAATCACAGTATAAGATATACAATGATATTACAAAATAACATTCTTTATCTAGAATATAAACTATACTAATTATTTTATTGTATAATTTTAGAGATAGATTATTATTCAATATCTTACCAGATCTTACACAGCACATCAAACACAGAAAAACGTATATTCTCATTTGGAATCAAAAACAGTAAAAGCAGCACTTGAGATTCACCAAAAAAGAAATTCTGTAATTGATTAAAGTTTCTCTTTGATAGGAATGGCACAGTCTGGCCAGTTTTCCCATAAAAATGACTTTTGCTCCTCCCTCTGTTGAAAAAGGTGAGGTAAGTTCGTTTGTTTTTGTTTTCTTTTTCCCCCAATCTGGCTTGTGATCATGAGAAGGATTTTTAAGTCAAAAATCGTAATAAGTCACACACAAATGTTCAACTGCACAAGTTGAATTTAAGGGACTGAGAAAACTAATTATGTGTTTCCTTATTCCTTTTAGCCTCAGGATTTCAGAAGTGGTCTGGAAGAATATGTTTGTGGAAGACGAGAAAATAATGTGTTGTTAGAAAATGCTGAAAATGGAAAGAGTCAGAAAAAGTTGGTTTTCTGCCCATTTTGATTACAACTTGTCTTCATGGACCATAAAACCAATAATGAAATCCATACCCCTTGAAACTGTCAAGTGTAAACTATAGGCTTTTCATATCTACAGCACAGAGGCTATTTTAAAAGTTAAACTTTAGCTGCTTTATGCAGTTAATTTTTTTTAAAAAAAAGAACAATTTTTGTTTTAAATGTGACAATCATTTTAAAAAAATACTAGTTTTCTTTTTTATACTTACTTATTTTTAAATTTTCTTATTTTCCCAGCAATGGACTTCAGTAATCAAGGAAAAGTGTGTAATGTTTTAAGTACATAGATTACAAGTTCTAAAACCAAGTTTGTTTTTTAAAAACTTTATGACTCTGTAAAGTTCCAAGGACATAGTTAGAACAGTGTTTAATTTGTATCAGAGATCAGGAAAATTAATCTTAGGTCTGGTGATATTTTCCAGAAACCCACAAACAAATAATATACTTATTTTTAATCATAAAAATTTAAACTCCCAATGAATTTTCATCATCACTTTGATGTTTATTCTCTAGGAGTTTTGTGAAAGGTTTAATTTTTAAAGGGTCCATGCAATCATTTCTTTGGTGAACATATAACCTAGACCATTCTAAACACTGTGCTATAATAACTGCACATCCTCAATAAAGAATATCCATCATTTCAGAAGGGAGATCGAATGGTAATATGACTTCAGTATATTATTTTCATCTTTGCAACTCTCAACAGCTCACAGGAATGTGGCATTTCCGATAATAAAATACCTAGCCGTGTTTCACAATGTAAAATTATATACATGCATTATTTCATACTATTGTAAATGGGAGAATGTTAGAATTATTGTCTATTCCAATAAGTAACAAAATATCAGGAGATGACAATATAAAATGCCAAGATTTTAATATACTAAAAGACATTATTGAGTTATATACTCATCTAGTCCTACTGGGAGATTTAAAAAATGATTTTAAGAGGTATGTCAACACATGTGCAATGTAAACTGTCACACATATATATTGATGATGTTGATAATTAAAGTGATGATGATGATGATGATGATGAAAATGTAAGATTGATGCAGTTTATCTACCACATATGCCTCTGAGAACTACTGATAAGTTGAATAATGTGTATTTAGATGGGTGAGCCACTGTTGAATCAGAATATTTTGGTACAATTTTTTATTTACTTTGCCTTATTTAGGTAAAAAAAAAATGTAGTAATTCCACTCTTTGATTCATTAATTCAAAATTCAAACTACTTTCCACAGAAGCTGAAATCCTTACATCTAATAATAAACCACATGTGCCAAAGTTATAAAATCAAGGATGCTCATTCCAGGAAGTTTTTCCAATAGACAAAATTTGAAAATATAAATTTTAACAGTGAAAAGTAAATATAATTATGTAGAGATTAGCAGTATATAATAGTGAGGAGACATGAATATAGAAAACCATCATTATAGTTTCAAGGGGAAAAGTCCAAATGCATTCCAAAACAGCAAATGCAGTATGATTTTTAAAATACATTACATCTATAATTGTATTGCTCAAAGTCTAGGTTTTCCTTTAAATTATTGTGACTATGATAGTTTTGTTGGTAATTTACACTATATAGATTGCTTTCCAGGACTAAGAATCACTCAGAAAATATACATTAAATAATTATATTTAGTCCTATCCTTTCCTTAAGAAAATTAACTAATTACACAGAAAAGTTGATTTTCCAAGGACATGAATCTAAGTAGTAGGTGAATTAAACAGAAATTAGGGTTCCCTAAGTGCATCCTCTCCTTTATAAAGATTTTTTTCTCCACAACCAGATAAAAATATACATTCTCAATTTAAAAAAAAAAGAATTTCTACCACTAAAGCCTAAACAGTGTGTTCAATACTGAAATTATAATTTCAGCGTCCCATGTAGGCAGTTCCAAGGTTTCTTTGGAATCCACTGTTCAAGTCCAGCAGGCTTTCTTGAGGGCAACTAAAATTTTTACTGGCATTTTCAAGGGTTCTTTGGGGACCGATTCTAAGGTAAATAAACTTTAAGACCAGTTTCTCTAAAATTAACCTTATTAATATTTATTCCTTCAACTATTATTCTGTAAATTATTTTTAAATATAATTTTTATTGTAAAGATACTGTACAAGGGGGTTAGTTACATGAGTCAGGTAAAGAGTCCATTTCCTCCTTTGTTTTTCCCCTATTAACCCTTCCTGCCCCAAGGATGTGTTTGCTGATTCTTAAGAGAGCAATTAATCTATTCTCATTGGTCTAGAAACTTCTGTGGCAAAGTTACTAGATCTTAAATCGCTACTTCACTTAAACTGTTAGCTAAACGGGTCCAAAACAGTAAAAGCAGAGAGGAAACACAGAACAGAGAACACTCCTACAAGCAAAATGGAAAAGCTTGAGCTTTAAACTTGCTTACCCCTCTTCCGGGCGGATCCGGGGCGGGGCAGCAGGGCAGCTGGGAGGTTCCCACGGGTGGGGTGGGCGTGGCCACGCTGCTTCGCCACGCCCACCTCGCCTGACCTCCCGGCGCCGGCCCCGCCACGCTCCCACCAGCAGCGCTGTCAAACAGGAGCGAGGGGCGTGGTCTTGGTTCCTCCTCCATCCTGGGGCGAAGACCGGAGGGATGTTCCCGGCTCAGGAGGAGGCCGACAGAACCGTGTTTGTGGGAAATTTAGAGGCTCGGGTGCGAGAAGAGATTCTTTACGAGCTATTCCTTCAGGTACCCTCCGCGGGATGGGGCTGCGGACCCGCAGACGCCCAGCCAGACGGGCGGGGCGCCCTGGACCACCGGGAGGGAGGGGCCTATCCCTGTGCTCTCGGCCAGGTGCCTGGCTTTCCCGTCCATCACCGGGGGACACCAGTCTCCCGGAGCAGCCCGGGAAGGGCGTGGTTTCGCGTGCGCTCCATTCCCACTGCAGAGTATGGGGGGGTGGCAGTGTGGGGCCTCCTCTTCCTCCCCTCAACCTCCAGCCCTGAGTAAGGGTTTCTCAGAGTTACCTGGGCCTTGGATGTGCAGGAGCAGTCCTCAGAAACGCCCTGTCCCTGTCTAGCCCCAGGTAATAAAGCACCTTTATGTCCCACATTCTGCTTTAAAAACGTCTCTTGTATATTACTCATCCGTCCCTCCCCCAGTCCCTCCTCGCAGATGTCCTTTCATGCAAAGAGGATTTTTATTCCACAAGACAAACAGCATTTGAAATGAGGGTGCAGCCGATTCCACTGTCACCCATGGATTCCCTGTCCTTGGCTCTTTTATTTCCTATTATGAGGACCTTCTGAAAGTTTTTGGGGCTCATAGCTCCTGCATTGTGCCTGTGTCTTGTAAGCACACTCCGGTGTGCCAGTCAAAACAACTTGCTAAAAATAATAGCTTCATCAGGCATCTGAATGATGTTTAATCATTCAGAATTATTAGGCACACTTGAAAGTGCTTACAAATTTAAGAGCTACCCCTTGGAAACTTGGCACATTAGGATAATGTACACCGAGGAGTACATAATATAGAAAAGTGGCTTCTGTGGTCAGTTCAACAGCATGACTTTGATCCTAAGTGAATATTTCAGTGTTTCAGTACCATCATATGACTAATGGGTGTCTACAGTATGATGCAATTGTGAGGAATTGATAAACTAACCTTGTAAAGCAGCTGAAGCAGCTGCAGCTGGCAGTTACCATTTACTACTGCTATTACTAATAGTAAGATTGTTAATATTGCTAATAGTAAGATTGTTGCTATTGAAAATAATGCTAACATCAAAAGAAATCAAGAGCGACTTCCCCTCTAAGACAACACGGAAAATTCCACGAAAGACAATAGCAGAGCTGAATTTCCAAAATTAAGTAAGTGGTAGAAGGGATTCTTTTTTTACACTTATCTTTGCAACAGCCTTTATTTCAGTTATGCATTGTGTGAAGTATTTTTTTAAAAAACTCAGAATCAGCAAAATCAGCAAAACCCAGAATATTTGGGGTTACCAAACTGTTCTTCATTTTGAGTCTAAAATATTTCAAAATTACTCAATCATTGATACACCTAAAAGATGTTGACTCTTTAAAAAATCTTCTTAAATCCTAAAAGTTGGGTTAATAATTAATTAAAATTTTTAAGAGCTTGAAGTGTTTAAAATGCTTCGGCAAGTCTAACTTTATGAAAATCCAAATTACTTAGACATATTTTGTCTCTTTATGCTTCCATGCACTAAATATCATTAGTAGCAAGCTAAAAATTGTAAAAAAAAAAAAACCAAACATTTCCTTTTATTAGTAAATAATACTGATTATTTTCAAATTGCTACCTACCATTTCAGTTGAGAGGAATCAATATATCATTATATTTTTAGCTAAGAAAGACTAAGTAGATATATAGAGAGTAAAGATGGTAATTTAATTCCAAATAAATTAAGTTTGAAGTACTGTTACAGAGTAGTTTCTAGGAAGCTGTCTCCATGAAAGAAGTATGAGAAACAGATTTTCTTTTTTTGGTAAGGACCAAAAGAACAGCTAGTTCCTGGGACAGGAAGGTAATACAAAGTTAAAGACTGAATCCAAGATATAGAATAATTTGGGGATCCCAAGATACAGAATTAGTTAGGGATGGTCATTAGGACTTCTCTAAAAATTAAAAGCAAATTTTATATATTTATACTACAAAAAGTACAATCTTTAAATATACACACCATTAGGTCCTTTGATTGTGTGATCATTTCTTATAATAATGATTGATTGCGGGGGTCTTATATTTTTTTCTCAGTTACAGTTATCACATTGCTTTACTACTCTCCATTACTTATAACAGGTTTTCTATTGATAGAATCCAAACATTTCTATTTATGGTATTTTATTCCATTTTTCAGAATGTATCATGGAATAATATCTCCAAGTTTCCTTATTTAAAGCATTTCTTAATTTTTCACTCTTAAATAATTATACTTACTGTTTCAAGGTCTTAATTATGTAAATTTCTCCTTTGAGAGGTTATTGCCAAATAGTGTTACTAAATCAAAATACATGATAAAATTTGCTTCTTTTGTCAATATTTTCAGTTTCATGATGTTGCCCTCGATTTTGAAGATAACTTGCTTGACACTGAACTTGTCATTGCAGTTTGCATTAAATGATAAGACAGGTAGAGGCAAATTACTTCACTCTTAGAATCTCTCTAAAATGGTTTGTGAAATCTAAAAAAAAAGGTCTTTCTTTTGTATTTGGGACTATTTGATTTTCCTTTTCTATGAATTTTTGTGTTAGACAGATTATATTTAAAATATTTACATTTATGAACAAGATGTATTATTTGCCTAGCTATGTAAGCCTATTGCTAACAGATTTCCTTTTTCTTCAAAAGTGAACTTACTTAGTATATCTGACTGTAAGAAAAAAAATCTTTGGATTTATGAGAAAATAACATTGTTAAGTTTCTTATAGGCTGGACCACTAACCAAAGTAACGATATGCAAAGACAGAGAAGGAAAGCCAAAGTCCTTTGGATTTGTCTGCTTTAAACATCCAGAATCAGTGTCATATGCCATCGCTTTGCTAAATGGAATTCGTTTATATGGAAGACCAATTAATGTACAGTATCGATTTGGTAGGTCCTCTCACTGAGGAGTCTCTAATGTCTGCTTTGAGGTTGCTATTCTTGTCCAGTGTACAAGCATTTTATTTGCCATATAATGTTAAGACAATAACATTTTCTCAGAATAATTATCTAATACATAATATGATTAATTAGTATTATCCATTACATTGCCAAAACTATAGCATTTCTTCTATGTTAAAATTTTAAATATTCTCTTTTAGAAGCAGCCAGCAAATAGCTCTGATAGGCACTATTTACTCATAGATTGAATACATCTGCATGAACTGAGCACACATCACTGTAGCAAAACATAACTCTCAAGTGTCTTGTCACAGTTCAGATTGGATACCAAATGCCTACTTCTTGGTGGATGAATCTTCCAAATTATTTTTCCCTTGGGGAGCTATCTTGGGGAACATGTCCCCAGGGGCTGGTTCTATGGCCCTGTAAAAGCAAAGTAGGTGAAGATGAGCCATACTAGGGGAGGAAAAAATCTTCTTAGTATGAATATAGCCTAAGCTCCAAATGCCTTGTCCTATATCCAGGCCAGCAACTGGTCATCTACAATGAGGAACTCAAAGATGTTATACTATTACTATAGCACTTTCAGGTTTCAGGAGCCTGATACAGACTGTCAGAATAATTCTGCTCATGGTTATGTTGCCTCCCTTAAATGATTCTGTCTCCTTTGGGTGATAGTGGTGTTCTTGTTGTAGCTGCTATTCTTCTGGTTCTACTAAAAACAAATAAGAACAACAAATGCAAGGTCTTCCTGTGTTTGACTAGATTTGTTTATTTATTTATTTTACAGCATGGATATCTCATGCCCTTTGTGCTGCCCAATTAATTCACACACACCAGCAGCATAAATGAGGGCATACTATGTTCTGGTACATGTTGTTTAAAGTTGAATTGAGTTTTATTTCTATGAAGATTAGATAATTTGGTTGTTTAAAGTTGAATTGAGTTTTATTTCTATGAAGATTAGATAATTTGGTTGTTTAAAGATGAATTGAGTTTTATTTCTATGAAGATTAGATAATTTGTAACTTATGCAATGTTAATAACATTTTAAATTTGGAAGGAAACAACATCCTCAAAACATCATAACTCTCTTTCAATGTAACTCTAAGAAATAGCCAATGTTTTAGATAAATGTTGATTATAACATATTCATTTATACAAATGTACCTCTAAGTCATTTATACAAATGTATTTATACAATGTATATATACATTCATTTAAACAAATGTATCTAAGTCATTTTTATAAATAAAAATACAAATGACTTATAGATAAGATATATGTGCTTATGTCTTATATTTTATATGAAATTTTCTTTCAGTTACATGTCCTCAAATATATGGAGTTTAATCAGGTCTGTTTTGCTTTGAAACATTTTTGAGACATATCCAATTATTGTAACTCAGACTGGCTTTAAACTCTATCCACACCTTAGTCTCCTGAGTGATGAAAGTAAAGGTGTTTACAGCATGGCCAGTGTTAGCTATCAGATCAATTAATGACTTAATAATAAAACTCCAAATTAAATTACTAATTCATCTATCACCATTCTCTTTCCTTTAAAGGGAGTTCTCGATGTTCTGAGCCAGCTACCCAAAATTTTGAGAACTGTGTTAAGATAAATTCACAGAGCTACAGGTAATCAAAAATATTTTTTTCATAAAGGTAAAACAAATATTCTTATAACAAGATTAAAGGTAGGTTGTAAATTAATATGTACTAAGAACAGTTTTAACATATCCTAGGCTATTATAAAACTTCATATTTAGACCCAGATTAAAATAATTTTCTCAATCTTTGAATACTGAGATATGTTTTTATTTGAAGTTCAGTCTTAATATTTTCAGTAGCAAGTAGTTGAGGTTTACATTTGTGGTATTCTCTTTTGTGTGTGCATGAGTGTGTGTGTGTGTGTGTGTGTGTGTGTGTGTGTGTGTGTCTATGTGTGTTAGTCCTGGGGCTTGAACTCAGGGCTTGGGCACTGTCCTTGAGCTTTTTTCATTCAAGTCTAGGGCTTTATCACTTGAACTACAGCTTCATTTCTGGCTCCTTTTTCTTTGGTAGTCAACTAAGATAAGTCTCATGGACTTTAATGCCCAGAATGGCTTTAAACCAAGATCTTCAGATCTCAGCCTCCTGAGTAGCTAGGATTGCATTATGAGCCACTGTGTGCCCAACTCCATTGTTTGTATTCTTTATAGTTGCTGCTATGCTTTCATAACTGTAAAATCATTTAAGCATACAGATTCTTGCTATGATGGCTACAAGCTACTGTTATTCATATTTTATATGTCAGTGAGTACAGACACAAAGTCTAACCACTTCTCAAGGTCAAAAAGAAAATAAAGTGCTGGCCTTGAAACTAATTTTCCACATGAGGCCATTCAGTTATTTACTAAATATGGAACTGTGTTGATTTTTAAATATTCTAGAATTGTGTATAGCTTTATAGCAATGATAACTCTAGATTATTTGGTAGTCTATTCTAGAGATAGAACAAAAAGACATCTACACTATGTAAATATGCCAAAATACACATGATTAAAAGATACAATTAAAAGAGTGAAAATGTAACAGCAAATGAATTGTATAAGTTCACACACACGATAGTGTGCAAATCGATAGAAGGGGTAAGAAACAACCCTGCAGACATTAGTATACACAGGCCTTGTTTCTCTGCTCCTGTCAGCCTTTCCAGCTATATTTTGTGGTAATGACGAGAAAATACAAGATCTGAGCAACAGTGTCTATTCAGAGAAAATATTCCTGGAGTTGTGGTCTCTTAAAGAAATGTGAGGAGAAAAACACTTAAGCATAGAAGGAACTTGGTCTTCTAGTTTCATAGGCAGAGTGAAGGAAAGAACAAAAGCATAACTTTTAACCCAGCAGTCACAAGATCCAGTCCACTGAGTTGATAGCTGTTTCTCTTTACCATGTTTTACACGATCATAACTTATTCACTATCCATATTTTATTTATAGTCACTCCTACCTTCCTTTTGCAATTTCATTACATCCCTAACATAGCTTCATCACTACATCATAAACAAGATTACTTACAGTCTGTACCAGGCATTTTATGAGCCTCTTTCATCCGATTCGTTATTTTATCATCTGTTTCAGAACAACATATTCTTAAAAAAGAAAACAACTACTAATAGCTGAATGGTCTCTCCTTGCTTATTCTGTTATCTTTGTGAAGCATTGGAGAGTCACCCGTTGGAAATGGTAACGACCCCAGATTATCTTTAAAAGTATTGCACTTCAAATGAAGCACAGTATACTCCACATCTTCCTTCTTCCTACCATGGCTATATTAGCAAAACCAGAAGTTAAGAAAGTTGGTCTTAAATGGCTTGAATGCAATTTTTGCCTCTGCTTCTTCATGAATGATTGATCCTGGATGTGACTTCACTACTCCCTACCTTAAAATGGAACACCTGGAAAAATATTATTCTGCTAATGCTAAAATAAAGACAAATATTTAAAATACTGGAATAAAGTACTTAGCAAGTATAAACAAAAAGGAATTCACTATGCTAATAGGGGAAGGATATGGACTTACATACCTATGGAGTCATTTCTATGCTGTAAGAGCTTCTCCTTCTGGATTTTAGCATCACATAGGAAAAGATATTTCATGTTCCTCAATATTCAGAAGGAACACAGTCATAGCAAGAGTGGAGTAAAGACCCCTCACGGCCAAAAAAACAAGTCTAAATAGACATAAGAAGATTGAAGTAAAACTCTTGTATTTTCTACTCTGTTTTGCTGCATAGTTTATATATCACCATGATTCTAAGATAGAAGATCAGATTCTTGTGCATATTCCATGCATTTTCCAGGATACTACATATAATTGGTAGTACTTTCTTCTTCTGGTATTTATTATATTATGAAGAAACTATGAAAATAGGTTATCATGGGTGATATGCAGAGGAAAATGGTGCCCATATAATCTCTTAGTCTCTCACTCATTTTCCTAATAAATGAGTTCTTGAGCTTTTATTGCTTCTCATACCTTTTGCTTTTAATGAATAATATGTTAGTAACACTAGTTTATTATGGTTGTTATCACATAAAAATAAGATATTTAAACAACAGAAATTTGTTATCTCACAATTTGGGGGACCAAATTGACTGATGTGTTGTAAGGAAGGATCTGTGGCATGTATTTCCCCTAGTTTTTGGCTGTTTGATGGCAGTATTTGGAACCCTGTTGATTATGGTAGTTTACCCAGATTTCTGCCTTTACTTTTGTAGTGTCATATGTGAATCTATCTCCAAATTTTCTGCTCATAACATTATCAGCTATGTAGAACTGTGGGTCTAACTTTTTTCAATGTGACCCCCTCTTAACTGTCTCTTCATAGTCTGATCTGAGGTAGTGGTGCTTTGGATGCAATGAGTATATTTGGGAGAATTAGCTTATCAACAGAAAACAGTTTTAATTTATATATGATTCTCTTATGACATCAATCATGAAAGTCACATAGAAACAATAGATGACTTAGAGAATCAACAGCTGTTTTCGTAACAAGCCTAGTCTTACCTCCTCTGTCCCTGAATCATATCTTCCCCATTGTAAGACTGCTCTTCTGCTTTCATCTTATTTCTTTAGAATCATAGCCCCCATACAACATACATGTACCCATATACATTCTGCGTTCCTTGGACCCACCTCCTGTCTAGCCTACTATGTTTGTCCCCTGCCTTTCATTGATGAACTTTTTATCATTCACATTCTTTCTTACCATACACTTCTGAACCCCATTTTTATAATAGCTGCTCTTCTGAAGGTTACAGGAAACTTCTGACCAACAGTGTAATGGCCTAGGTGCTTCTCCAGTTGACACTGATGTCATAATTGACAACTATTTCATCTTTCAGAATGAAGTTCACACTTGCCCTAGCTTCTGGTCTACTCTGTCTTTATGATTGACACCTATA